AAACACACAAGGTTTATCAACCTTTACAAAGCTATTTGCCCTATTTTGCATTAAAGAATAAAGTTTGGAGACATAATTCAAGAAAAGAGCTTCATTGGCCACTCATCAACCACTTTATTGCATGATATTGAGAAGAACACCACTTTGAAGAGAGCATAATTCTTATGTTTAGTGCAATCGGCTTCCTAAGCTAATACCGCCTCAACCAAACCTTGCGAGTTTGTTTCAAATATTGCATCGACCCATCTAAATGTCTTGACTTCTATCTCGATTTATGATTTCATTTTCATAATAATTTTACTACCTAACCACATAACATTCCCATTATGATCCCTCAACACACAACCTATGCCGCCATTCTCACTAAAAGAAGTTTTGGATACAATTGATCAATTTGCTCGCATTTTCATCCTTCGAATTAAAACATCAAAGTCCATAATGTTTCTTGTTGGGGTTGGTGCCTCGGCTCTCCCAATTACGACAGCTTCAAAGACATACAGTCGAGATCACTACTGGTCTGCTACCTTAGATTTCCACTTACCTCGAAATCAATAACTCGGTTGAATATGAGCCACTCATTGATAAATTTCAAAAATGTATGTTGTCATCGACAAACAAGAATATGTCATTTGCGGGAAGACTGTAACTCATTTAATCCAAATGGAACACATACAGCAATGTATCTTAGGTGGATGTTTGTTTACCAAATGAAGAAGACACCTTAGGCTAGACAACTATGGGATTCGTCACGAGTTTTTGCATTACAACTTATATGGCGTTTATTCACACTCTTAGAATCTTTGTATGGGTATCTTACATGTCATTATCTAGTTAAGTACAGTTCCATTTGGGACGTAAATGAGGGTTCAAAAGGTTCCTACATATGGTGTAAGCTGCTAAAACTTAGAGACTTAGCTACAGATTTTCCGAGGTTTGAAAAAAAAGATGGGAAAAATGCTCACTTTTGGTTTGATGATTGACTTCACATCAGAAATGTTATTAATATTATAAGAGATGCATTCACCAATCCTTGGGGAATTTCTCGATCGGCAATAATATATGAAGCCGCGGTTGGTAGTGACTGCATCATCTGCGGAAGCAAGGAAAACACCATCAACCTATCTTGGATAAAATCATGGGTGTCCCTATTCAAATTTACAGTGCTGGACGAGATGTAGCTCTTTAGCGACATGAAGTGGGTGAGTACAAGGATCATTTCTCAACTACTCACCTCTAGAAGCAAATACGAACCCAATGGGGAAAAGTTAACCTTGTTAACTCAAGGCTTGTTCGGTCAACGAAGCGAAGTTATACCTACTCTGGCACAAAGCTTTTGAGCCTTGACTCTGTTTTTTGCGTAGGAAAAAGTACCACAACTTTGTTTTAAGACCTCAATTGATTTTAAGTGGTTAAGTTCTTGTCTCAACTTTATACTTTCATGTAAATAGTTCTCTCTTGTTTAATGAATTTGAAATTTTTTGTTTTGTCACAAAACGTACTTCATCTATTGATCAGTCACATATACTGTATATGTTAACCAATAAGGGACCGAAATACCAATAGTAGAAAAAACTGAATTCTTTAAACGAGCGTTTCTAGCAAGTAGGTATACTTGTACATTCTTCTCCATGGAAAAGTACACCAAAGTAAACTCAAAAAAGCCTTCCAGTTTACTTTGAACTCAGCTAGTTCTTGTTCGAACCGACCCCATTCTTTCAGACTTGACACCATGGTGGTCAGTTCCATTGAATCTGTGACAAATAGGAAGCAATATCGTTGCTTCCTCAAAAGGCTATTGATATGATCCTTCCCAGATCGGCACTCTTAAGGTGGTAGAAGATATGCCTTCAACCCTGAACGTTTAGGAACAAGGTGAAGGTGAAGTGGATCGATTGGTCACACAGAGGTTGTGGAAAGGCCTCTGTTATTCCAATGATCTTTAGGATATGACACACCTAAAGATCGGTTTTGATTGAAGGATATTACACACCAGCAACCGAATTGTTTAAGATGAACACAAGAGAATCACTCACAAGAAAAATATTGATAAAAAGATGGATGATCACGTTTCTGATCATACATGGTTTATTTAAACAGCTAAAATGAGCTAAAAACAAGGCAAACTCGGAAACAAATGCAATAACTACAAAGGCCAGATTAAAGACTAAGTTTGAATGACTCTTGATCTGTTTCCACACGTTTTGACCCTTGCTCTTTATGGATCGAATTTATTCTGATGGGCTTAGTAGAATTGTGATCCAATTT